AAGTGTTAACGGTCATCACCTGTTAGAAGTCCAACCCCGAATTTCAGACTATCCATTTTGCACTAGATTGTTTCTCTCTAAACTCTGGCCTGGTGTTGAGAGCCCACAGCTTGCCTCGCCTTACCTCTGATTACCCAGCTCCCCTGAAGAGGCCCAGCCAAATAGTTGCTCTTGAGAATATTGCCAAACACCACATCCCAGGTCTGTGTATCCAGAGGCACAGGAAGTGATCTGCCCGGGGCCCAGTTTATTGCTTCATCTCAACATACTTTGACGGACAGAGTGTGAGTCAGCCCCATACACAGCACGTCACCCCCAACCTCCTTCCTACCTAGCAGGACAGAGTTCTTCTGACACACCCATCCAGTCTTCCAGACCCCTGCTAAATTTGGAAAGCAGCAGGTCCTGTAGATATCAACAACATCCAGTACTGTCTATCAGTGGTCGTCTATCAGATACCAAAGCACAAGAACAGGTTGAAACCAACCCATGAAAAGGAAGAACTCCTGCTCTCCCGGAGAGAGACGGGAGGCTCTGCGGAGGTCTCAGACTGAAGAACACACCGGCCCTGGCACTGGTTCTCCAAGACGAGTCCATATCAGAGTGTCCTATGACCCCTGCAGAAAACGCAGCCCGCCCAGGAGATTCTGATTGGGTGCCTGTGAGGAAAGACCCTGATCCTGGGAAAGACTGAAGGCAGGAGGAGAAAGGAACGACAGAGGATGAGATGGTTGGATGGCATCACCACCTTGATGGACATGAGTTTGAGGAAGCTCCAGGAGTTGGTGATGGACAGGGAAGTCTGGTGTACTGCCATCCATGGGGCCACAAAGAGTCGGACACGACTTAGCGACTGAACTGAACTGAGCTGGGACCCCTGAATCTGTTGAGCCGGGTTTGGGAGCTGCTGGGTAAGGCACTTGGGTTACAACAATGCTAATTCAGTAGACTGGCTCTAACTAAAGCCTTAGGAATGACTACATTCTTGTGCTTCACAAGGAAGGAGAATTTGGGGGGTGCTGCATGGCTTGTAGGATTTTAGTTCCCCCAGGGATCGAACTTGTTTGTGCCCCTACCAGAGTCCTAACCACTGGACCACCCAGGAATTCCCAGGAGAATTTTGAAATGTATACATACTTATGTGCGTATATATTGGGTTGGCCAAAAAGTTCATTTGGGTTTTTCCATAAAGAGGGCATGTGCAAACCTGAATGAACTTTTTGGCCAACTGAATATATATAGTAAGTTCTAATGGTGAATGTTCCCTAAAACGTGTCCTTTGTCACCAAGTTCAAATTCACGACCAATAATCACCTACTTTTATGTAGATGACTTACACCTCTACTTTCAGCTGAGACCCATCCACCCTGCCTAAGTCACCTAAACCCAGCTGCCAATCACAGCCTTGAATTCCACTTCTGAAATCAGCCCTTCAATTACCTGAAACACTGGCTTCCTGTTCCAATTTCTGTTGATAGTACCACCTGCCAAGGCATCTAGATTTAAATCCTTGGTCATCTTGGATGCTTCAAGTTCACATCCAAACACTACAAAATACTGTCACTGTTCCTTTTACCATGACTCACAAAGCACTGCCCTTACCACCTGGCCCACAGGAAACAATCCCAGGCCCTCCCACCCCCGTGGCATCCTGTTATAATTCCCCACTACCTGCAGATACAGTCCTAACACCAAACCTGGCCCAGGCATTCAAAGGCCTTAACCTAACCTATCATACTGGGCTTTCCCTGGTGGCTCAGACAGTAAAGAATCTGCCCACAAAGTGAGAGATCCACATTTGATCCCTGAGTCAGGAAGATCCCCTGGAGAAGGGAGTGGCACCCCACTCCAGTATTCTTGCCTGGAGAATCCCATGGACAGAGGAGCCTGGCAGGCTACAGGCCATGGGGTCACAAAGAGTCGGACACGACTGAGGAACTAACAATACTAACCTATCATTCAAGTGACAATTTCATATTCCATCAACCTCCAGCAGCAAAGCTAATCTAGTCAAATTCCCCCAATGTACCTTGCAACCTCCTGCCTTGGGTTTTATCTCCCTTCTCCCACTAGGAATGCCTTTCTCTCTCTAGCTATAAAAATCGTACACATCCTGGAAGGCCCAAGTTCAAGTTCTACCCACTCCCTTGGGAGTACTTCCTGATGGCTGCCACCTCACAGCGGCCCTCCCAGGGCACACCCAGCACCCTGCCACATCTGAGCCTCTGCTAAGTAAGGGTGTGTCTGCTCCTTTTCACCTTCCCTCTCACCCTCTGCTCTTTGCCCCTCCCTGGCGCTTAACCACCGACTTCTCATCGACAGTCCGTTGTACACTAGCTGCCTGGCGCATCCCCCTGAAAATGAGCAAACCCTCATTCTTATGAAGAAGCGAGACCCGTTCACTGCTAACATGTAGAGAATAAACAGAAGGAAAAAAATTTAAAGTCTCTCATTATTGCACTTCTCAACTCAATTTAACTTTCATCTGTGAATCTGTCATCTCTTCTTACCCCTATAGGCACAATAATTTTTTACTGGTGTTTTAATTTAATCCCTGAATAGTTAAACTTCTTATGTTTGTCATCTAGCTGTCACCCCTAATAGGACATATTAGACTTGAGTCTTTTTAGGAACATGGATATGCCTCTCTGCAATCTCCACAGGCCTTAAATTAACATGGTTCTAGACAAAGTAGGTAGCTAAAATGTTTAAAGCATATGTTCATTGGAAAAAAAAACATTTTGCGGGTACATTTGCTACAAATACATTGTCCAAAATAATCTATGTGAAAATCTGCTTACACATAGGCAATTTCTTGTAAAGTGGCTCCCCCCAAATTACTTAACAAATATCTTAAATATCCAAGACACAATATTGAGGGCTCTATTGTTACTCCTTTCTTAACTGATATTTATTCATTAATTCAACTTGCTTTATAAATCTGAGTTATAGCTAAAATGAAGATCACCCCATACAGAAAAGTTTAATGAATGAAGAAGAAATTGAAGGGTGGGGAAAAGGGATGGGAGAAAAGAGGAAGTTGGCTACTTCAATTTCTACTTAAAATTTCAATTCAGTTCCATAGCAACAATGCTGGTTTGCACCAAGATTTGAAAGTCTCATTATCTCACACAGAAGGAAATCATGCTAACAGGGTGACAAAATCGAAGATCATGCTTTTCAAGTTTCCAGAACACAAGACTATTTAGCATATGGAATTGGTTCCTTCCCAGCTGTTCTACAGTTCAGGAAAGCACCATAAGTGAAAATAAAGACTTTCGTCCTTGGAACTGAAGATCCTCTACCTAGAAAGCAATGGAAAAAATCCAGTCTATCACCCCAGAGCAAACCACCTATTATTATCTTAATCCCATTTTACTGATGAGGAAACTCAGTGAAGTTAAAACAAATATAAAAGAAAAATAGAGTAGGGATGGTTAGATCTCCATATGTTTTCACCACAAAATAACCTCTTTTATACATAAATGTACGATTCAATTTTACAGAAATTCAACTGATCAGTTTTTGCTTCCCATGAATAAGGACTCTCTAATGCAAACTGCATCTCAAATTTTAGGTTTCTTTATCACGAGATGCCTGGGAAACAGAAATTTACATTGGTTGCTAAGTCAACTTTTCAGACAGCCCTTAAGATCTCTTTAAAGGGTAACACACCCCTTTGGGCTTCTGGATAAACCTCCAGCAGGTTCTGAAGCTCTTTGGGCTCTGCTTCCCCACTACCCTGCTCTCTGTAATTGAGGTCCCCGGGACAAAACCAGCAGGAGGGAAAAAACGCAACAACTCCCTGGAAGGGTGCTCAAGAAGACCTTGGGCTGCAAACTCCACAACGCTAAGCCTCACCTCTGCGGTCTCATCGTTTACTATTATTTCTTCTAGACTCTGCTTGTGTTACCAGCATGCAAAGACCATCACTTTAAAACCTCGGTCCTCCGTCTCCTGATCACATGCTTGGCGTGTGAGGAACCCCTGAGCTCTGGAGGAAACGTAACTGGACTGCTCTAACTTCTTCTGCTTTGAGGAGTTTTAATAAAGGCCTTTTCATGTTTGTTTCTCAGGCCTTCCCCAAATACAAAACTGTCAGTGTCCCCTGCCCCTTCCAAGTCTAAGATACCAACTTCAAACCTTTGTAGCACCTAAGTGAGCATTTGTTAAGAACTTGGGTGAATTTATGGCAGCCTGGGCCTGTGTTTGGGAGACGGCAAACTCGAACGCAAAAACGCTCAATTTATGTTCTCTTGAGACGGTAAAACCACAAACATGAAGCAGGGCAAAGAACCCACCATCCTCTCCAGCTTTCCTTCCACGTTTTGGTTCAGTAGTAAGAAAAGTGAGTCCACTCCCTCGGGCAAGTGCAGCCTCCTCACGGTCAGGCTCACCTAAAACATCCACTGCATCGTCGCATCCAAGCCAAACTCGGTTACTGAGGCAACCGGGTTTTTCTTCCCCCAGGGTCACAGGGAAGCACACCCCTCGGGATGCCCTGGTAACCGTCCACCGGTAATGCTGGGGAACCACAACAGCGAAAGACTCGCTTTCCAAGGCTGGCGCGGCCTGCATGGGGGGGGGGGGGGGGTGCGTGGGGGTGCGCAGCGTCCAGTTACATTCCTGACCCACTTTCCCTCCCTCTCCCTCCGCCTCCCCTCCCTCCTCCTCCCGGGCAGGCCGCGAGGGCACCGGCGCGGCGGAGAGCCACCCGCGAGCAGCAATCCCTAGGCCGCCGGCGGCGGGGGGCACCCACAGTCGGGCTCTGCAAGGGACCGGGAGGAAGAGGAGAGGGGAGAGGGGGGAGGGGGAAGGGGGAGGGTGCCCGCCTCCCCCCGCACCCCACCCCCACCCCGGCTTCCCCTGCGCGGCCCCTCCCCCGTCACATGGGCTCCAGAGCACCTGTTGGCGACCTCAGCCCCTAGCGGAGCCCCTCCCGCCGGCCCGGGCAACCCCCTACCCCCTCCCCCCCGCATCCCCACCCCCAGCGGGATGGGATGGGAACGCTGCCCGGTTCTCGCTCCGCCAACCCCGCTTCGCCCCAGGAGGCCGCGGGGGGCCGGTGGGAGACCCCTGCCCAGCGGCTCAGCTTTGCAAAGTGCAAAAGAGCGTTGGCCCGGCGCAGCGATCTGCAGGAGGGGCTCCTGCCCGCCCCCGCACCCCCCCATGCCCCCCTCTCCCGGGTGGAGCGGCGAGGTGGGGTGCCCCCGCCCCCAGCCCGACTCCGCTGGAAACCTGGGCTCCGCGCGGGCGCGGGGAGGGGGTGCTGCGAGTCCGGGCCGGGGCGGCGGGGGCGAGGGCAGGTGGCGGGTGGTGACGGGTGGGGTGTGCGTTCCGGGCCGCCGAGTCCAGGAAGGGGGCGGGAAGCTGCCGTCTCAGCTGCAACTTCTGAGCCTGCGAAGCGACTCAGCAACTCTGCGTGCGCCGCGCCCCTCCCCCGCGCCGCCGGCGGGGGCTGGGGGCTGCGCGGTGCCCTGGGCCCCCGCGCCCGGCCCCGCGGGGCGCAGGTCGGGGTGCGGACGAACGACCCGGAGCCGGCCTGGGCTGCCAGAGGGGCCCGGCCGCCCCGGGGGTAAGACAGGGGGGCACCGCCGGGTGCCTGCGCACGCCCCCCGCCACCGCCCCCACTGGACCCCGCGCGGGGAAAGGGGCGGAGGATGACGGCGGAGCCATGGAGACTGCCGGGTGGATACAGAGAGGGCCCGGCCGTCCGGGGCTGCCCGCATCTCGGCGGCGGATACGGCGCCCGGGGGAAATGTGGCCAAGTGTCCGTCCCGCCCGGAGCGAGGCCGGCGGTGGAGACCCTTCCTCTCCACCCGGGAGGGGAGCGCGCTGCGAGGTGCGCCGCAAGGCGAGGGCGAAGGCCACCCGGACCTCCGGGGGTCAGCGGCCGTTTGTTCCGCTCCTGAAGAACGGCGCGAGGCCCTGGCTGGTCCTATCAGCCCGGAGACCCAGTCAGAGCCCCAGCTTCGTGTTCGGAAAGATGGACCGGTCTAGTTCAGACATTCGGAGGGGCTCAACTTGGGCACCGGGGGAAGATGGAACGCCTGGGCCAGTCTGGGTTGGGACACGCCGCCCCGAAGCCCGGCCTGCAGCCCCTCTGGGGGCGGATTGGCGAGATGGGGAAGGATGTAGACGGCTGACCGGGGCCAGGCCCTTCCACTCCTGCAGTGGGGCCTGGAGAGCCCCGGCCGCCGCACCCTTCCGCTAGGAGCAGGTTTACGAATCCTCCAGCGTCCCCGCAAGACTCACAAAGTTCATCTGACTCACTGTACACTTACTGTGCTTTACGCCCAAGCCTGTTGCTTGGAAAGTGCTAAGACTTTTAATGGTGGTGTTAAGGAATTGAGTCATTTCAGGGTGTGGGGCTCTCTGAGAGGCAAAGGGTGGCTTCAAGTGAAAGTCAACTACCTGTCGACCAGCTGAATGATTTAATTACACGCCATCTGAATTTAAAGAGCTTCACACGCTCACTGAGGACAGTTGGACAGTTAGATTCTGAGGCGGACCCAGAACTTACCTTTTAAGTGAACAAAGTCTGTTTTGCACTAAAAATACACGAGTGACCGGTAGGAACCCCTCCAGATACCAAAATCCAGGGATGCTCAAGACTCATGGAAGATGGTGTCGAATTTGCATATAATCTATGCACATCCTCTCCTGTGCTTCAGATCACCTCTAGATTACTTAATAACCCTAATGTAATATAAATGGTTATAAATACCATAAACGTTCTGTAGATTAATTGTTGGCCTTCAGCAAACTTAAGTTTTGCTTTTTGGAACTTTCTGGAATTTTTTTTCTCAAATGTTTTCTATTCCAGGTTGGTTGAGTCCACAGATTACAGCAGGGCCAGTTCTCTTTCCTTCTTTTAGATTCAAAACATTTAGTTCTTTTACTTCTTTTTAATTTATTTTGTATTTCTTGGCTGTGTGGAGAGGCATGTGGGATCTTAGTTCCCTGACCAGGAGTTGAACCTGTTCCTCCTGCAGTGGAATTGCAGAGTCTTAATCACTGGATCATGAGGGAAGTCCTTTTATCTACTGCAAGATGCACATATTTTCAAATTTTGACATCTTTAATATCCTATTTGATAGCATCCTCCAGTCCTAGTTTAACTGGCACTGTTTTTCTTTCTTTTTTTTTTTTTTTTTAGTGGGACGTGAAATTAGGAAGTTTGAGAAATGCTGAGTTAAACAAGTTTATTTGTAACTAATAAATGCAGCAAGCAGCTTCATAGCAAGGCCTTTTGGAGTTCTTGTATGCGCTTAGGTGTTTGTGAATCACCACAAGGAGGTTATGCATCACAGTTTACTAAATGTGTGTGTGCAGTCACTGGTTTTGTGAGCATCACTGCTGAGGACTTACATTCCTTTCAGGAAATGGTGCTCTAGGGCTTGTCCCAGACTTGAACACGGTGAAGGGAAATGTTCACATTTCAAAACTGTGCTTGAGGATAATCAGGAATCTGTAAATGATAAACTAAACTTAGTGACCTAACAAGAAAGAGCCCATTTAAGGAAACTGGGCAAAAGTCTTCCCACTCAGCTGTAAGAGGAACTGAATTGGGATCATCTTTAGGGAATTAATTCAGTGAACATTTAGTTCATCAGAAAATTCATGTATTTTGGGACCTTCCCTGGTGGTCCAGTGGGTTAGACTCTTTGAGTTCCCAATGTAGGGGACCCAAGTTCGATCCCCACTCAGGGAACTAGATCCCACAAGGCACAAAGAGTTCTCACCCCACGACTAAGACCCAGCACAGCCAAATAAAAAAATTTTTAAAAAGGCAAATTTATGTATCTGATATATACAGTTACTGTTACATTGTCTCCTGCATTATTTTGACTTGTACTTATTTAAACTAGACTGGCCTAAGCTACTAGTCAATTACTCCAAAAAATTTCCCCAAAAGATCATTATGAAAAAAATAAAAAATGGTGATGAATACCTAGAGGTGTAATTTTAATTTAAAAAAATGAAAGAGGCATAAAAAATTTCCAAAGAGATGAAATTTAGCATAGGAAAGAAAAAAAATGCTTGTCATTCATCCTTTAATAAAGGTTAGAGACAAGGTCGGATTGTCATAAGTGAACAAAATATTCTACTTGGAATGTTTCTAATATAAATAATAGTGTTTAACATTTTTTCATATGTAACAAAATGTGCACTTTCATATATTAGGGTATTCACCATACAATAATCCTGCAAGGTAAATGGAGCAGTCATTCACCCTCAGATTGCAAACTCAACCATTCATTCATGTAACAAGCATGTACCAAGTTCTAGACACTAGGCTTTGATGACAGAAAGATGAATATGAGAAATTCCCTCTCTGTGGAAGTTTACATCTGGTGGGAGAGATGGATAAGTATTAATAAAATAAATAACTAATACAGTATAGCATTGAGGCTTAGAAAGGTTAAGGACTTAAGGAAACTCAAGTAAGGATTTGAGTGGTCTTATTATTTCACACTCTCTCCTGTAATAGACATGTTCTCATCCTTGCAAACACCCTCATGAAGATAGAGTATTTGAAATAAATAAAATCAAGTATGTTGAACCTTAGGGGCCAGAAAGAAACGTACAGATTATATAGGCTAACCCACTCATTCCACAGGCTTAGAAACGGAGACAGAGAAGAAAAATGGATTTGCTCAAGGTTGTACAGTTATGTAATGACCGAATTAAGATTAGAATCAAGGTTTCCTGACTTCCAGCTCTTTGCACTATAAAGTGCTGCCCTACAGTAAGAAGTGGTAAGAAAAGTCTTAGTGGAGCCTGTCTCTACCGTCCAACGATGTGTAGGCCCATCTCAATAAAGGCCCAGGGTGATTGTGGAATCTGTGATAAAATACCCCATGACTAAGCACTTATTTAAAGAAATATTTCTAAGCGGAACTGCAAGGGGATTTCAGCTATGTGAGTTCCTTAAAAACAGCCACCATCCTTAAAAGTTGAAGATGTATCTGATAAAAAGTTAATATGGGACATTTGGGGAAATTTGAACACTGGCTAACTACATATTAAAGACTATTAAAGGATTATTGTTACTTGTTTAACCATGAGTGGATTTGTGATTGTGTTATTTCAAAAAAGGAGTTCTCATGTCTTAGGTGTATATAGTAAAATGTTTGCACTGGAATTATATAATGTCTAGGATTAAAATAATCCAGTTTTGGGCGGGAGTAGGGGAGGAGAGAAAATGAAAACTCTAAATCATGTGCTGAAACTGGGAAATAGATATGTGAGCATTTATGCCACATATGATATGTGATAAATGGATGTGGGAGAATTGCCACTTATGTGTGTCTTCCAAATTTTCCAAAATAAAAAGACTTTTCTTAATCTCCATAAAAGAAAAATTTATTAGTCCACCCCACACCCCCACCAACCTGCACTCTCAAGAAAAAAATATCTCTTCCTAAATTTGAAATGCCTTCTTTTAAGCTTCATGAAGTTATTTTCCTAACAATGGAATCAAGGTTAGGGAGAAGTATGATGCTAATTTTAATTGCTGGCATTTGCATAGGCTAGCACCTTATAATTTACAAAAGATTTATTTTTCTGATTAGTTTAGGCCTGAAGTTGAAAGGCAAAGGATCTCAGTTGTGTTCTTCATAGAACAAGGCCCGAAGCCCTGTCAGAAAATTAAATTTTCTTAGCATTTTTAAATGGTAGTAAAAATCCGAAGGATTTTCAGAAATGCTGAAACTGGGCACACGCTGAGCTACTTCTGCATTGCAAGAAGACATTTTTCCTTTTCATTTTAGGTGCTCAGAGGGTGCTGTGCTCTGATATATCTCAGCTGGTTGACGTTCTTCCCAGGGAGTATGAGGTCAGTCCCAAAGCCATATCATCATGGAATCTATAGTATTATTAAGGGCTTCTTTGTGGCTAAGAAGCATTGGTGTGTTACTGTTTTATTATAAGATTTATAGAGCTGGTTTACAATACTGTATTCTTAATTGTGTGCATAATATATTTAAAACACATGTGGTAGTACAGTTTGTGTTCTATATTGAGTGACTTTGGGCTTTTTTCCCATTCTATTCAATAAGGTTGAATATTACCTATTATCTGAAAATTACCAGAATATCACAAAGACAACACAACGAATGTGGTGAATTTAAAGGGGTGGATGCCACAGAGGCAAGATTACTATCATTCAATGAATATTTTATTGGCAATACTTCTTATTTTGTAGAGAGCTGAAAAACTCTAACGTGGGTAGAATTTCCAAGCACATAGAAATGAAACTAATTTCAGAACGAGACTGTCTTCCTGGGCTCAGAGGTTTAGGGGAAAGTAGTTTCATTTCATCTTGCTTAAGTTATTATTTAAAAACATTTTTTTAATTTGGAGTATTTGTCTTGTTTGAATGACAGAAAACACTCTAAGGACGTGTTGACCATCCCATCCTGCTTTCTGCTCTAAATCAGTGTTCCCCAACTGATGGCTGAAAATGCCCACAGGGACACTGAGTTATTGCAAGGGCTGCTTTATGTGCATCAGGTGATCTCCATAGACTAAGAAAATGATCGACATTGAAAAGTTGTTCAGTCGCTAAGTTGTGTCTGATGCTTTGCAACCCTATGGACTGCAGAACACCAGCCTCCTCTGTCCATCATCTCCAAGAGTTTGCTCAAATTCATGTCCATTGAGTCAGTGATGCTTTCCAACCATCTCATCCTCTGCCGCCCCCTTCTCCGTTTGCCTTCCATCTTTCCAAACATCAAGGTCTTTTCCAGTGAGTCAGGTTTTGGCATCAGGTGGCCAAAGCACATGTTTGTCATTAACTAATAAACTGCAAATTTAAAGTTTTCCTGAATATAAAGTATGACTTTGTTCTTATGTATCTTTAAACTACTGAGTACTAAAAATAAAACTACTATCTTATATTTGGAAGGAGACTAGAAAGAAGAACCCAGAGAAGGCAATGGCAACCCACCCCAGTATTCTTGCCTGGAAAATCCCTTGGATGGAGGAGCCTGGTAGGCTGCAGTCCATGGGGTTGCTAGGAGTCGGACACAACTGAACGACTTCACTTTTACTTTCCACTTTCATGCATTGGAGAAGGAAATGGCAACCCACTCCAGTGTTCTTGCCTGGAGAATCCCAGGGACGGGGGAGCTGCCATCTATGGGGTCGCACAGAGTCAGACACGACTGAAGTGACTTAGCAGCAGCAGCAGCAGAAACAAGAACCAGC